TACACGCCGATACAGGGAAACTAACTATCCCTTCAAAGTTAATTCACTCGATGTGAAATGTAACGCTGGTTTACTTCATACTGTGTAAGCACTGACCATCCATATTTCAAATTCAGACTCCACAAGTCAATTTCATGTTGATTTTACGGTCCACGCTGTCCGTAATTTTCTACACGCGCGGAAATTCACCGAAAACTTTGATTGCACGTCCCAACTATTTTACGAAAGTTCTTTAGTGACCCCAAAACATTCTGCACGTAAAAAAAAGTTCCTAGGACTAACTGAATTTTTTTTGTATCTTCAATGATTTAATTTTTCACGCAAAACTCAGGGACGGTCCTACAAATTCTGTAACCTTTAAATATTCAGGATTCAAGATTCACGTCACAAGATTCATGATTCAAGATTCACGATTCAACATTCAAGATTCAAAATTTACAATTCAAAGTTCAAGATTCAAGATTCAGGATTCAAGATCCAGGATTCAAGATTCGGCATTTAAAGATTCAGGATTCAAGGTTCAGGATTCAAGACTCAGGATTCGAGATTCACAATTCAAGATTCAAGATTGAATATTCAGGATTCAAGATTCAGGATTCAGGATTCAAGATTCAGGATTCAAGATTCAGGATTCAAGATTCAGGATTCAAGACTCAGGATTCAAGATTCAGGATTCAAGATTCAGAATCCAAGATTCAGAATTCATGATTCAGAATACAAAATTCAAGATACAAAATCTCTTTAATCCCGAATCGTTTGAATGCTGAATCTCTAATCCTGCATCTAAACTCTGTAACAAAGGTTTCTGACCCTTTCGGTGCTCGCATTTGGTGAGAAGAGATAAATATGAATAAGGTATTTTACTAAGGGAAGCAGCTTATTAATTGGGGGCTAATGGTTGGTCAGAGCTCAATTATTAGGATGCGACAAATCTACTGTAAACTCTCATTTTTTGTTATTAGGGGTGGAATGGCAGCAGTCATTTTTTTACTCGAAGGTCATGTAAACAAACATCCAATTAATTAGATAACTCATTTTTGATACGTTATTTCACTAACTGCGCTACACGGGCCGAGAATAGCTATTATAACGCCGGCTCGTGTGGCGCAGTTCAGTTAAAGCTGGACTGTGGTGCTAAGGGTCCCTGGTTCGAATCCGGGTTCGGGCATAGATATTTGTAAATGTATAGTAGGTTGGGTTGGTAGAGCAGCCTTGGCTGAAATTCCGCCCACTCAAAAATAAAATAATAATAATAAAAAATATATGTATATAATAAATTTAATTTGTGCGTTGAACGATTTTATTTAAAATCTTGGAATCACGACTACAGCTACCCGCGTGTCCTTAGAGCAACTCTTACACTTTCTCCTTCTGATTCGCTTCACTTGATCTTCAACTGGTTCTTTTCTAAAACTTCTTCATTGGGTTACCACTTGATCAGTCTTATTACTAATTGGCAATTGATAAAAGATATCTGTAATTCTTCACATCCTGATTATCTCCAATTTGCTGGATAACTTCTTGATGCTGACTCGCAAATTCTTCTACTACTGGACTTTCTTTTTGCTCATTAAATATTTCTATCTCCTTTTCCTGCTAAACCGGTGCCCCCCCCCCCACCTTTGGAATTTTCAGAATATTTTTATTGCAATCGTTTGTTGGTGTTTGTTAGTTACATTTTGACGTTTGTTGGTTGACCGTTATTTAATTATTCAAATTTCAAAATTTGGGCGTCGAGCGAGGCGTAGAGTTAGCCCCCCACTTTTTGAATTTTCACAAAGTTATAGTTTCACGTTTGTTGGTTGATCGTTATTGAATTATTCAAAATTCAACAATTTGAGCGTATAGTTACCCCCCTCCCCACTTTTTGAATTTTCAGAATGCAATTGTTTGTCGGTAGTACAAAAAAAAATTAATTATTGCAACTTGGGGGGGGGGGGGGCTAACTATACGCCCAAATTTTTGAATGATTAAATTTTGAATAATTCAATAACCTTCAACCAACAAACGTGAAAATGTAACTAACAAACACCAACAAACGACCAAAAAACGATGCAATAAACATATTTTGAAAATTCAAAAAGTGGGGAGCTAACTATACACCCCCAAATTTTTTAATTTTGAATAATTCAATAACGATCAACCAACAAACGTGAAAATGTAACTAACAAACACCAAAAAACGACCAACAAACGATTGCAATAAACATATTCTGAAAATTCAAAAAGTGGGAGGCTATTTTGTCCATTTTTCGAGTGCCACTATGGGGATCTCGCTTACCTGAAAAGATAGAGAGTTGGTTAAATGGGGGCAAAGTTGCGAATTTTCCTGCTGAATAATAATCTGAAAAGAAATTTAAAATATCTTTAGTAGTTTTGAAAATATTGCAAAAAAACGAAACTTTCTGACCTTCGTTTTTAATTTTTTCATGGTAAACTAATCGTACTAGACATTTCTAATTAACACATTATTCAGACACTTTTTAATTTTTTGGGAAGAGTGCTTTGGAAAAACAAAACGTTCTTTTATCGTGAACAAAAGTTTGATCCATCTGTCTAGTTGGAGCGTTGGCAGGGAACTAGTTGTGTTGACAAAATTCGATTTTCATCTGAATATAGAATTGAACCTTCGTTTTGCAAGAAAATTAAAATTCAAATTAGAACAAAATACATAAGAATAAATAATATTTTCGCAATAAAACTAGCACAAACGTAAATGACACTACTTGAAATAAGTCAACCTTTTGTTCATAACAAAAGAACGTTTTGTTTTTCCAAAGCACTCTTCGCAGAAAATGAAAATTGTAATTTTAGGAAAAATGTGTTACTGAACCACCATGTGTGATATATCGTTGTAAAGAGAAGAAAAGACCTAATCTCAAAATGTCAAAATCCAAAACGGCGCCCATAAGACAAATTAAAGTTGCCACGTGTTTGTCCGTCATCTTAAAAGCTATTTAAAACGGGATGCCATATTCGAAATCTCCATTAAAAAGTGTCTGAATAATGTGTTAATTAGAAATGTCTAGAATTAGTTTATTATGAAAAAGTTAAAAACGAAAATCAAAAATTTTCTTTTTTTTTATTTTCAAAACTACTGAAGATATTTTAAATTTCTTTTCAGATTATTATTCAGCACGAAAATTCGCAACTTTGCCCTCCTTTAACCAAATTTCTATCTCTTAAGATAAGCGAGATCCCCATAGTGGCACTCAAAAAATGGACACCGTGTAAATACATCCAAATTTTTGAATTTTGAATAATTCAATAACGATCAACCAACAAACGTGAAAATGTAACTAACAAACATCAAGAAACGACCAACAAACGATTGCAATAAACATATTTTGAAAATTCAAAAAGTGGGGGGCTAACTGGATACCGGTTGCAATATCTTGGGTTATGACTTCCCAAGGGTTCTGTTCTTCTTCCAGTCCACAGTTTCCTCTTCCTCCTCTATTATTGTATCCTCTTCGTGTCTAATTTTGTTTTCTATTGTCGAGTTTTCACAATATTGTCTCTTTGCCCTTTTTTATTTCTCCCAGTTACTCTGGTTCGTGGTATTTCGTTCTGGTTTGCGATCTGAATCCATTCTAAAGTATTTGCCAGTTGAGTGATTGCGGTTACTCCTGGCCCAATTAAAACGTTTTCTACTTCCCTGGAGAAATTCCCCAATTAATTTGTCGACGAGTCGAATGTCGCGTCCAGATTTTTGTTCATTTAATGAGTAAGAGTTCACTGAGGGGAAGCGTGTTCAGATACTTAGATCTTTGCGGAACTCAGATCTGTCAATTTGAAAAGAGGGCAAACGAATCCTAGTGTTACGGGATTTATGATTTAAAGCTTGCTTTGAAATCATTCAAATACGAAAAGTGCGGAGGATGTGTGCTCACGGTGGCAGCGGACGAGTCGGCACGTTCCTTTGTTGATATTATTCGTTGGCACTCCTTTTTAAACTTGTTAGTAACCACAATTTATGCCGATCTCGCCTTCAGCACTTCTTCGCTATTAGCATAATCGCACTTAGTTAATAGATAGCGGTTTGGTAATTATTACAATTACCGCTTAACATCGACTGTAATTTTGATCTAGGCAAAATGACTAAGCCGAAGACCACGATTAACACTTTCCAAAGAAATCGCACGGTTACCCAAAGTTCGCAGCTCTGACCCATTAAATTATCTCCGCCATTGTAAAAACTAATAACGTGCATAAAATAGACATTTATTATAACGAAACGAACAGCCACTGCCAGAACCTTTGAATTATTGCACTTTTACCGCGGTCTTAGTCTCGTTAAGAACACAAAAAGAAACGCGCTAAATTAATAAAGGCAATAGACGATAGTTTCTCAGCCGCTATTGGAATAGTTTAATTAATTAACAAGAAATGTTACAGGCATAACGGGTGCTTATAGCTAAAATTTATAAAATGTAGGTATGCCCAGATAAAGTCATTAATATTTCGCTTTCTACGGGACACGTGTGTAGGTAGCAATATTGGTACGATGTCTGAATTTAAGAAAACATCCAGCTGCGCATCTACCTCTTACCAAATCAATCTTAAGACAAATTGCCTCAATTTTTTTCTAACAGAAATCGCCATAACTTATAGAACGCTTCTACCAGGCGATTTGACTAGCATTGGGTGTGATTGTTAGAGAAACCAATAACGTCTACCCACACTGTTTGTTATTTATTTGGAGCAACATTTGTAATAGTCTTCCTATATTGCAGGTGTTGTCGAAGAATGTCTTTGATGATTGGTGGTGCTGCCGAAAAAAGACTGGTAGACCGCGAAGAACTTACTAATAAGACACTGTTGACTTTTATTATATTTTATGGTCCCGGTAATGAAGAATTTCCTTCCAGACAATTCGACACAACAAGTTTTGCTATATTTCGTAATTACCATTAATCACAATAAACGCGCATACTGGAATACCCCAATTATAACATTCAAATCTTCTGGCGGGGATAAATCTCAGCGCTCATTTGCAACTTAAAAGAATCACATAATTTTTAATAAAAACTGCAGGTACATGAGTTAAAAGATAATAACAATAAATTTTAAAAGAATCATCGAATACATTGGCCAAAAATCTTTGCCGTTTCGAACATATAGTTACCACTGCTACACAAATCTCTTTTTTTCTTCTTAAGTTTCTTCAGGGTATCTGGAGAGTTTCCGAAAAAATTCCACATGCATAGATTTTCATCGGTCGCAGCCGTTGCTAAAACTGTACGGTAACAAGCGGCAGCAAATTTCAAGCTCAACAAACCTAAGGTCGCTCCTCCGTTTCCCCATAGAAGGTACAGCACTCGCCCGACGTGCCATTCGATTTCATCCACCTCAGTAGTCAAGTTTGATAGAACAATAATCGAGCTCCTAGGCACGCCATCGTTATTTGTCCTTCGGTGCCAATAACTCACCTAAAGTTACGGATGGATTACGCACTCAACAGGGATCATTTACCACTAGTTCTCCCGTTAGGGGGTTCCACGCCAAACTATCGACCGCGAAGGCGTTGTTTTCTTTTGGAGATTTTCTGCCTTTCTGTTGCATGCTGGACGCGTTCCAAATGGTCACACAGCCTTGTCCGACACCTCCGCCTATTGCTAGTAGCGAATAATTCCAAGGGTGCCATGCGATTCCCTGAAACATCGTTGCAAAAGTTCATGTAGTGGCATTGAAGATGGCGGAAATTATAATTAATAAATATTACTACGCATGATAAAGACAGAAAGAGAGTAGTCCTGGATTACGGTTATGGCTGTAGGTCCCAGAAAGAGTATTAATTTGAACATAAAGTTAGTGGAAATTAGGTTGTTGGTGGTAAGCCGGGGGGAAATGTGCGTTAAGCTACGATAGCGCTCGCGTCGAGCGATTAAAAAACTCGGAACTTTGGGCGATGTGTTTTTATATTTAGTGAAGAATTCAGATTAAACCGCAGGGTAGCTGACGTCTTGTTCCGTAAGCCAGATAGGGCGAAATAATCGGTAAACTTAAATTGGTCACCGGTGAATCACTGCCGTGTGGTTTTTATTTCGGTGTAGAATTGGCGTTGAACCATCATCGAGATTAAATCAACCACCTGAAGATATTGCTGGCAGAGAATTTGTGTGTATCGTCAGTGGTAAAGTTCATTTAAATCAGATACGAAACGAAAACTTGTGAATTAAAGTTTCGGTGATTATCATTTAAAAATATACAAACAAACACAAACAGTTCTAAATGTGAAACATATTTATTTAAATGACCTTAAATAAAGATTAATCTTATTTTAGGGCGACAACGATTTTTGCATTACCTGAGTAAGGTTACCTCCCTATAGCACCCTCTTATTATCTGAATATTTTCTCTAGATTTCCTCAGTATTTCCACTAAATTTCCTCAGAATTTCCTATTTCCCTAGAATTTTCTCCTTCCTTTGAAATTTTCTCCTTACTAAAATTTCGCCAGAATTTCCTCTAATTTCGTCCATTTCCTACATACTTCCCAGCCATTTCGTTGAAATTTCCTATATGACTAAAAATCACCACCATTTCTTAATTTCCTCAATATCTCTAGCATTGCCTTAAATTTTGCCAAATGTAAACAAAATTTCTCCGAATTAACGTAAAATGAGGACGCTACTTTTCTGTAAGAACCTTTTATTTCCTTAAAGTTACTCGCGATTTCCTCAGAATTTCCATTAGATTTCCTCAGAGTTTCCTCGTATTTCCTAAAAACTTTCTAATATTTCTCTAGAATCTCCTCATTCCTTTGAAATTTGCTCCCTATTTCCCCAAAATGTTCTAATATTGCCCCAAAATTTCCTCGTTTCCTCAAAAATTCATATTTCCCCAAAATTTTCTCTAATTTAATCCATTTCTTACATATTTCTCCCATATTAATCAAGAACTAATAACTATCTGCGTCGTCTCAAGAGCACCAAACGCTTCTTACGTTACAGCCGTTTTGGTTCGAGCGACCATCGAAAAACCATCATACAGTTTAAATGTGTTGTTTTTTTGTGTTACTTATTTAATGCTATAATTTGTTTGTGTTTTGTAGGTACGCATTTTATTTTTCTTATAATTCTCAATCTTTGGTTTTGAAATTAACTTGATTTAACCTCAATGCTGCATTGTGTGTATGAAAAATGCCTTTAGCTTTTATTGTTTGAAATCGTTTTCATTTTTTGTGTAAACGTTTGCTCAATTTATGGTTTTTGATTACTTGGTCTTAACCCGAAGTTGAATTTATACTTTTCGTCATTCGTTTAAATTTGTGGAAATTGATTGATATGTGTATAGACTTGTTTTTAAACCAACACTTTTCGCCGTGACCCGACGGTCACAAGGATGGGAAATTCTGTAACCAAACGAGTTACAACATATAAGGCTGTAATTAACCTCAAATCTCTACTCCACACGGGCAAGGGAGGAGGAGACCCTGAAAACCAAAGCTCTCCGGTTTGCGAGCCGGTTTGTTTAGAATCTCCACATATTTTGTTGTAAAAAGAGAGATTTGACGACCCTCTTTCGAAACTTAATTGTCATGAGTTTTCAGTGGTACCTATTACACATATTTATAATGGAGAATAAATTTGACTTGATTTGGTTTGATTCGATTGCGTGTATGGAATATCTGCCAGAAAAGGAAAGCTTGATGGCATCCCCTGCAAAATAATCATAAGCATGCTGAAAGTCCCTGTCATTTTGGTGGTCTGGGGGTATTTTCCAAGAAAAGAGAGATTTTAAAGTTAATTATTGCCATGATAGTTTTCAGGAAATGGCTCCTCCTGTCCTGTGTATTAGGCGTATTTAAAAAAATACAGCGCGTCTTAATACGCATGTGAATATTTGCGGGTCTCTGCATGATTAGATTATTATGTTCGCGCTTAAATAAATTGTTGCTACGAAAGCGTTGGGGTCCAAGGTGCAAAACATTTCGTTGAGCTTCCGTTGAGTGGCAAGTTACGTTAAAAACCAGTTTATTAATGTTGTTGTGCACCTAATCTGTTTATACGATGTGCTGATAACATTATAAATAAATCGGGAACAGGTAAAAAAATTAAAGACAATTAATTCTCACTTTTGTTGGCTGTCAATCAATGATCGATTCATTTAACTTTTAATATGTTGTCATGAGTTTCAGGTTCCCTCCGAAAATTCTTTAAACAGTGTCGCTTCTAGGCCATCAGAGCAACATTAGGGGGGTTTCTGCCCTCGTTGTAAATCCAGCACTTTTCTTTCCGGGTATATAGCGAAGTGGCGTGCCTAGGTACAGCTTTCTGTTTGATCCGCCATAGAAAAGTTAGATCAAACAGAGGGTTTTTTCCGGCTTAGGGCCTGAGGTCGATTTCTTTGGATCCACAAGATATAAAGGTTGGTCTCATTATTTCTTTTCGGTTTTGTATCTGGGTGAGGGATCCTGAAATACGGACCTGATCACCTGACTTTTTAAATGCACACAAAAGCTGACTGTTTACAGGGAGATTTTGTTTATTTAGCAGTCGCTGTTATCCATAATCCTAAATAGTGTGAAAATTGCTAATTAGACAAGATTTCACTCTACGTGCAGTAAATTTGTAAGTATCCCGGGTTCTGATTGGACGGAAAAATTAGTTTTTATTGGTGGAAAAAATTTATACGTCCCAGAATGGGTGTTAATCAAAAAGAAAACTAATGGGGAGTACATTGTTCGGGGAGAATCGTCAAGCAATGCGAGTTGAACCGTAAGCGAAGTTAAGTCGACCATCTGTAAGTTTGTGCGGGGTGGTTTTATACTTTGTTAAGAATTAGCTTTGGGTCCTGGAAGAATTCGAGAGTTAGTTATTTCAATTCGTGTTGCTCAGTGAAGATACATCGGCCACCTGTACTTTTTCGCAGGGCGTTTTTAAATGTTAGTGCGACACTTCAATAATCGAGAGAGTGTTTTATTTAAAAAAATAGGATTGCGTGCGTCCATGGTAGCAAAGTTTAGCTACCTGCGTGTAAATAAACGCTTCTGTTGAAAGTATCATCATGCTTGAACTCCGTAGAGAAAACACTTAAAGAAGCCACTTACAGTTCATGATGAGCAGGGCCATCGGCACGATTAAAAATTATAAAATTGGACAAAAAACTTAATTAGCAGTTGAGAATTCCTAGTGGACTGTTGCATTTAATAATGTTGATGAAGATTAGATTATAATTTTCGAAATCCATCAAACGGTACCAAATTTGCTTACGTATAGTGAACCAAATGTGTTCGTATCGAAAATCGCAAACATCCTAATGATGGAAGTAAAATCTTACCCTCACTGGAGCCGTATAGCTGACCTGGAAGTGTTCCCTTAACTGAGGCCAAAACCATATTCGCACATTATTATCTTCGCCGCTTGTAACTAAGTACTTCTCATCGCATGAGAGTCGCATTTCGATTATCATTCCGTCGTGGGACCAAAAGCGATCGGTCTCGTACCTCAGTTGTTCATCCCATACGACCACCCTACCCAGTTTACATCCGGTTATCAGCATATTCGATGTTGTCCACTCCATCGCTGTGATGCAACACGCCGAAAGACAGTTGCATGTCTCTTCGTACACGATCTAAAATTGAAATCGGACTGGCGAAATTTTAGCGCGCTCCTTACCTTATTTTTGACAGAATTGAATATGGCGAGTCCCTTTAGCTCGTACGCCATAGCAAGCGCCGTTCCGTTCTTATTCCAACGTATACACTTTCCCACCTTGCCTCCTGTGTTTGTAACCCTCTTAGGGTCGTTCTTTTGGGAGGACCATAGATATACTTCGCCTGCAAATACCGATGCCAGGTAACCAGTACTGCCCCAGTCAGTACTATGTTGGCCTAAAATTTAGCTCGTTGGGTTTATCCTTTTTAAACTAGTATCGCTGGGTAGGGAAATAGGTTTTTTTTTGTGTACAGATGGCACCAAGTGAACACCACCACGTCCCCCATTTACCATAAAAGCAACCCAGAATTAATCTTACAGTTACAAACTTTTGTAATTAGAAGTCACAATAAAAACAGCAGTCTATTAATTTCAACGCCTTCTGAATCACAATGAGCACATTTTAAATTTCTTTTTACTATTCTCATTGGGTAAATAACGAAAGTAGCTATAACAAATATTTATAACAGCAATTATCTATCCACCTGGAACAGTTTGAGAATAATAAGCATTGGCAATGTGCTTTCATATTAACGTTCGCTTTGAACGCTAAAATTATCAAAACGGTACAAGACACGAATATCACATCCTGAACTTATTGTCGAAAATGAAGTTCTCTACCATTGACATCCTAAAGCCTTGTTTTTAAAATCCCGTTGAGGATAGAACGACGCGTTAACTGAATTAGAATATATGTATAGTATGCAGTATGAAGTTGAATGGGGAGGGACAGACCAACATCTAATCATTGAGATTTGGTTTTATTCTTATTCCTGCTACTTCAAAATGTGTATTTCCGTAAAAAAGTTTTAGTTTATCTTTTACCCCATTTGAATTCATGAAAGTGTGGTTTGAAGAAAATGATATTGCTTGAGGATAACAATATTTTGGCATTTTTTTATCCCTGAATGTTCTATTACGTTTTACTATAATGAAAATTAATATGAGTAGCAGATGATACACCAAAATAGCTCGCAGAACATTTAAAATCGAATTATAGAAACGGAAGGCGCTCAAGAATTTAAAGAATTCAAAAGAACGGAAGCATTTGAAAAATCAAAAGCAATCGATGAATGTTGTTAAGAGCAACCCGACGCATTTAAGTAATTTGAAGAATCCGAGGAATCGAAATTCTTATGGACCTGAAGAGTAAAAATGGAAAGAATCATCTAGAACATTTAGAAAATAGAAATATTCTGAAAAACTGCAAGGTTCTAAAGAGGTTAAGATTCTTAAGATAAGAATTTTTTGAATTTAAGAATCTGAAGTAACTAAATCCAGAAAACTCCCAAGAATCAAAATCTGGATGTTCCAATGGAACTAAAGGAAACGTAAAAATGAGAACGCAACTGAAGAACCTGAAAGAACAAATCTGAAGAACCTGAGGAATCCAAAGAACTGGAAACAGTGAAATAATCGAAGATTGTAAAACCGGAACAAGGAATCTTAAAAGTAGAAGATATATGAAAAGTCCAAAGAAACGGAAAAATTCAGTTGATAGAAGGAACCTAAATTATCCGAAATGAGAATAATCTGCTAAATCTGAAGTATACACAGAGTTCTAGGAATCTGACAAATCTCCGAATCTGAACAATCGGAATTCGAAGAATCCTAAGGAAAAAAGCTGAAAAATTAGGAAAAAAGTTAAGGAGTAGAGTTACCCAACCCTAAACATCCGAAAAAATAAAAGAATCCAAAGAAGGTCTAAAAATTGAAGAAATGACCTAAGAATGAGAAAAATCCGAAGAAACTAACGATCCTGAAAGTACCCAAAGATAAAAAGAAACGAAAGAATGTGAAGAATAAGAAGAACTTACAAGTACCAAAAATGTCGAATCATTCCAAGAAGAGTGCAAAAAAACCAAGGAAAAAGAAAGGTAAAGATAATGTAGCCCCATTGACTTTGAGGGGTATGGAATAATTTCCAGAAAATGTGTAGAATACCATCAGAAAAAGGGAAGAAGGTATGGGATTCTCTCAAAAATTATCCTAACCCTCTCAGTACACGTGTGATAATTTTCAAGCCAGCGCCCATCGAATCTTCCTTTATAGGCCGGGCGCTAAAGGGTTTGAGCATGCACTGGAAGTCTAACGCAGTTTGACTTGTGATTATTGTTGGGAGCATATAGTAGATGGAAAAAATCGATGTCGTCGCATTTCCGCGGTGGGCATCACATGAGGGGGAGGGGGCAAAGTCGCGCGCGTGGCCATTCACTTTATCCTTTATAACTCAAAGACGGTAATAGTTAGAGCACTGCTTGAAGTGGTTATTTACAGCTACTTATATTACCTACAAAAAAGGCCCTAAGGATAAAAGTCGTACCTCTGACTGTTTTGTTACAAATAAATTATTTTGGAATATATCTAAATCCGATCAAAAATCATATTTCATGCACATTTCTTATGTGTAAGATAAATTTAATAATGATGTTATTAGATAAATATATATAATTTTATACAGTCAATTTTACAATTTTCCAGCACGTACTTGGGCACCCAGTCACAAATCTTTCTCCTCTTCGCTCTCTTCGTCAGACTCTTTAGTTTGTAATGGGTTTCTGCATCTATCAACACATTTGCAATAAAAGCAATAAGAAGAATTATTTGATAAACAGTTACATGTTTTTTTGGAACAGTTTTTGCATTTGCAGAGCTGAACTGTTTCGAGATTTGCATAACATCAATGCTGGCGAGCATTGCATGAGTACCATTTTTACCCTTTACGTTCATAAATTGTTCGGAATACGCCAGATGTAGATACATCAAAATTTGATGAATCATCACTCTGAAGATTACCAAAATTACTTCCCGATGGATATGCAGACATTTAATATTGGAACTAATTCGAGGGGACATTACCAAAACTGATGCCATTATGTGAGAGGTAATTTCTGCATTATTTAAACATGCAGAATGGAATCAAAGAAAATCTTTTTTAAACACGTTTTTATTAGGTCCTATTGCGGCTATCGATTTCGACCTTATAAGGTCATCTTCAGGCCGAGCGTCAATACGGTGAAATGAGGAGGCATGTAATATTATTAACGGTGTTGTATGTATTAGTTATCAGGAAAGATGTTTATAAGTATACTAAAAGTCACACGATGGAACAATACATCAACCGAATTATTTAAACATGTTTAGTGATCGGTCAATCTTTTGAATTATCCCAATTAAAATATGATGACAATACTTATAATAATAATAGTAATAATAACAAAAGGAGGAAATTCGGTAAAAACCGTTCTTCCATTTCCCCTTAAAATAAAAGTTTACATTTTCTCGTTCCTAAATTGCGGAGGTATATAACTACAATAAGTAGGTAGGTATACATCTAAAATATAAATCATACAAAAAGTGTAACATGGTTAATTGAAAAATAACAGTATGCAAAAACAAAAATTGAACTACAAAAATTAATCCTCATAATAATAATAATAATAATAATAACTACATTTCCTTCCAGGTGAGATTTCTAACGAATTCTTTACTGAATTTTTTGAAAGTCGACGGTGGCATTTCAATTTTACTTAATATACTAAATTTAAGAGATATGATGCTAAATACTCAAACGACCCTTCATATTTTACGGTTGCATGTTGTGGAAGTGTAAAGCTATTTATTCTTATATTAATATTGTGCATTTCTGATCTTATTAACAAATTATATAAGTATGGTGGTTCTTGAGTATGATAAATCTTATGTAATATGACTAAGCTTAAGTAAGTAATTCTTTCAAACATGGTATGTTCATTAAGCATAACCAAAAAAGGTGTAACGTGGTGACGATAAGGTATATTACAAACAAACCTCATGCATGCGTTCTGAATCCTTTGGATTTTATTTTTGCTGTATGCATATGAGAAGTAGTAGTAAACCGTACAGCAATAGTCTACGTGGGGATAAACTAGCGCCTTGACAAGTTTAAGTTTAGTATCCTGTGAAAGCTTATCTTTAAGATGGTATAGAGACTTCAATTTAAAAAAAGTAATTTTTTATTATACCTGAATCACAATCTCCGTTTTAAACACTCAAATGCGTGCGAAAAAGGGCCTTTAAAACACACGTGCTTTAAAGTTGCTAAGTAACGATACTTCAAGTATGACTTTTGAAACTCATCTGGATGAAATAAAAACTCCTCTTAGGTCGCTTTCTGTAAATGCAGAACATTTCTTTGGCTTTTGTACCTATCCTTTGGTTGAAGTTTTCACAAACGCGCATAATTTAGGGTATGCTTCCAAATCTGTTCTACTTTTTAATCGCAGCATTGTTCGAAGTTTTGAATGAATGCACCAAAAGATAGAAGATTTAAATACCTTTGACATTTCCTTCATATATGCCAGCATTATGGATGCATTTAAGACTGTATTCGTAAGTAACTTCCTATTCATCCATGGAAACAACTTTTCATATTCTTTATAATAGGCTTTACTGGAGTTGGATTTTACACCTACCAACGTTTGTTTAGATTTTACAACAATCGATTGAATGGACGGTGTATTATCTTTTTCAACGGAAATCGTTTAATTCACAAAGACGATAATTTTTATAAGCAAACGTCAAGTGACATTTCCATGGCAATCGTGAAATTACGAACACCCAGCCCACTTAATTAAACATGTATTCGAGTATAACGTCAATATGACTTCATTGTATTTCCTATTTTTAAATTATACTGCAGGTATAATAAAAAATACTATAAGATACACGTGTATAATTGGTCTTTAAAGCACTTGCAACGTTAAAGGCACTCCGCTTTGCGTCGTACCCTTAAACTCGTTGCGCGTGCTTTAAAGACTTGATTATACACTTGTATCTTAATATACTATTATAAACCTGATCGACATGCTTATCAAAACTTAATCTACTGTCCATGATTACACCTAAATTTTTTATGCATTCTGTCCAGCGAATGTAGATACCATCCATTGACAAGCTACTATTGCAGATTAAGCTTCTCTGTTGTTGTGAGCCTATACACACAGCTACGGTTTTAGTTGCATTTAGCCTTAGTCCATTCCTTGTACACCACTTTGAGACACTATCCAAATCCGCATTTAATAACTTTATTGTTCCTTCGATATCTCCCACTGAGCATGACTTATATATTTGTATGTCATCTGCATACAAATGAACACTAGCATGCTTTATCACGTATGGTAGGTCAAAGGTAAAAATAGAGAACAAAATGGGACCTAATATACTACCCTGTGGTACACCTCTTTTTATTAGCATAAAGTCAGAGATATTGTCCTGATCAACTTTCACCCTTTGCCTACGACCACACAAATAACTTTGAAACCAATGTAGGGTGAGTTGATCTAAACCGATGTAAGATAACTTGGCCAATAAGAGTTCGTCACTCACCAAATCGAACGCCTTGCTTTGATCTAATAACACCAGAATGCAAGAAAGAGATTTATCATTAACCGAAGCTATATCACTACTGACTTTTAGTAACGCCGTCGCAGTACTGTAATGTTTTCGAAATCCCGACTGCATAGATGGTAGTATTTTATTTTCTTTTAAATACTCGATTAGCTGTTTTGCAACTAACTTTTCTAAAATTTTGGAAAAAACTGGCAAAATTGATATTGGCCTTAAATCATTTAGCGTCTGAGGATTTTTACATTTAGGTAATGGAATAATATCCGCCATTTTCCAACAATCGGGCATTGTGCCTCGTTTAATAGAATCATTTAAAATATTTCTTACGAGAGTCAGACAGTAAGGTAAAATTAAGTTAATCATCTTTATATTCAATCCATCATGACCGTATGATTGCGATTTTATTTGTGATAGCGCGGAAAATATATCGTTATCATTAACTTCCTTTAAAGAAAATGTTTTACCACTTAATTTATTGTTTTTGAAGTATGTCACCTCGTTTAAGTCTATGCTTGTGTTACCTGCCGATTTGAGGAAAAAATTATTTATTTTGTGTGGTTCGCGCAAATGTTGTGGCAAAGAATGTTTAACTTTTTTAGTAGATACTCCCCAGCTTTTTAGATTGTTCCACAGCATCTTTTGATTCCCCTCACTCTGTTTTAACACAAATTTCATATACGCCCTCCTCTCATTATTAACTGCAGTTTTAGCGAAGTTGCGTAATTGAACATAGTATTGTCTGTTGGATGGGGTCTTTAATTTTATATATTTATTATATGCTTTTTTCTTTAAAGTAAGGATTTGTTTTAAATTATATGTTATACAAGGTTTAAAGTTGCGACTGAGTTTTATGGTGCGAATTGGAGCATTGTTATTGAATAGAGTAATAATAGCTGTGTTTAGGTAATCTACTCTGCTATTTAAGTCCCCAATATTGTCTATTGCTAGCCAGTTTATATGACTTGCATCGATATGAAATTGTTCGGTGTCAAAATTTTTATAGTCTCTATACGACAATAGCTGTTCCGGAACAGTTTTAGCATTTATTTTAAAAGTGACATAGGTTAGTAAATGATCTGTGTTACTTTCTAGATCAATATTATTAGAGCAGTTAACCACAATATTTTCACTAATGCAAATGACATCAATTAGCGACTCTGTCTGATAAGTAATTCTTGTGGGATTTTTCACTATTTGTTGCATGTTAAATTCCGATAACATAGATGAAAACAGTTTATGGTCAGCTGATTGACACAATAAGTTAATGTTTAAGTCACCGGTCATCACAACGCAGTCAGTTTCCAAATAAATTTGTTCTATTGAATTTGATACCTCACTAAGATACCTAGCACTCACACTTGGTGGTCTATAAACAACACCTAAAGCAATTTTAAAACTATTTATGTAAATAATTAACCACAATTGTTCAATTCCATTTAGACTAATATTCGAGATTACTGTTTTATAAAGGTACTCACTTTTTAGATATACCGCAAGCCCTCCACCTCGAGAGGGACGGTCCATCCTAATTATATTATAACCGGGTACCCCTATTAGATTGTCTGGATAATCTGAATTTAGCCAGGTTTCCGATACTCCTATAGCATCATGTTGGTTTTCTCCTAAGAACTCCTTAAAACTTAAAAAATTACTGGTAAGTGAACGAATATTTATGTGACTAAAGGTGATTATTCGTTTTTTGACTTGGTGATGGTAGGAACGCCGTTTATATACTTAATAAAAAGGTTTGTTTCACCGGTGTCTTTGCGGCGCTCCAACTCTCCTTTGATCCTTTTAAAATACTCTTGTTGCAGTTTCGTTTGGTCCGTGCCAATTGAAATAGTGGGATGGGTTTCTCTGAGCTTCCTCTTATTTTTCAATATAGCAAAAACGTCATCTCTGCTACCTAATTTCACCTTGAGAGGTGCAGGTGAATTATCATGCTTTTTTCCTAAGCGATTTATAGTGATTTCGTCTGTGGCGACATTGGGAGCAATATTTTTGATAATATCAATTACTGTTTTCATATCTTCGTTCGATTCTTTGAGTTTAAATATTATTATGTTATTAGACCGTTTTTGACGTTCAGATATTTCACTAATAATCACTTCCATATTTACATGATCCTTTTCGGCTTTTAATGCCTTTACTTCTTCCTTAAGCATTGCTACTGTTTGATTTAATGTTTCAATAGCTTTTAATAGTTGCTCATTATCAAACGATTTGGCCATTTCTCCGGTATTATCATTGCACGCAGTGCATTTCCAAACGCATCCAGGTGTAGCACTTATATTTTCGTATTGCGCTTTAGAAATATTGGCGCATTTAATGTGATAAACGTTTGAACAATTATCACAAGATACGCTCAATGTTTTTGCAGATATTGGTGCACGACACTCTTTACACTGATACGACATTATGCACCGTAAATTAAAATGAAAATTACTTCAGATAATTACAAAATATCTTGCAGAGCAAGTAATACACGTCCGCTTTGAACGAAATTTAACACCACTTACCGATCATAGAACAACAAACTTAGAATGGAAACTCTAATATAATGTAAAAATGACGCGCCATCTCGTGTATGTTCTCAGCAGCTTTTGCGTGAATGGCGCCAAATTTAAATATTAAAATGTAAGCTACGTCCGCATTATACTGCTCCGGATCTGTAACAATAACATTGGATTTGACTAGCTGAAACCTAAAAGGTAAATGAATCCAGCCGGTGAAGTCCAATTTTGTTTGTTAGGGATCCAGATAAATTCAGTTTAATGCCGATGCACCTCAGCAGTCAGGGGCTTCAAAGAGTACAGGCCACTTGTTTTATAAGTAATAACTCCAATTAATCCAATCAAGGAGTTATATTTAATTTAATATGGATATACAAGATACAAGATCAACTTCATGGAACTCTACTTTATGATGCTCTCAAGATCATTCTAAAAACAAAATATGTAGCAATTTATTACAATTCAATTAGTGTTAGCTGCTAAAGATAATGTGCGAACTGCCACACGCTTTAAACCTCTTTGTGTTCCAGGTTCTAAAGCGCAACCAGAAAAAATGACGTTCACAAACCAACAACTTTTGTGTAAATTTCTTCCACATTATATTCTAAACCAATTCTATAAAAACTTCGGGCTCCATTTTTGGGAAACGTCTTCGCAATTTGTCACACAACATTTACGTTTTCGATTTGTATATGCATAATTCATTGTAATAATGAATAGTAATTATACTTAAAGCACAATAAGCCGTCAATCAAAATTCAAAATTCAACTGTCATAATGGCGACACGTACTAAAGTCACTAGATTTAATGCACGCTAACTATGCGCCATCTATTGAATGTTCTCCAAACTAATTATATTTGTACTCAGTTGTTCCCGTTTACGTTTCCCTTCTAAGTTTTTTGTTCTGGGTTACCGATCTAAAAACAGAACAGCAAAAATACTTACCGACGCCTTTTTAAAAATCAACAGTCTTACATTACATTTAATCTTTAATTATTGTTAGGTACATTAAACGTACAATTTGTGCTGTTGTTTCCTATAGCAAGACGCTCATAAAGTCATAAAGGAAGTGCAAAGCTAGTAAACTACATCAGACACATGCACATTTTGATGAAATTATTAACTTCAATTTTGACAAATAAACTGGTTACCTAGTGATATACACCATACCACTTCGATCATTTCGATTTATTCTGCTCGTTAATTTCTTAGTGCATATTTATATTGGTTGCATAATTTTAATTTCGATCGCGCAAAAAATGTTATAAGCACGTCGAACGTTAAGGGTTACCGTTCTCAGACAATAATTGGAGTCGTCGCTTCGCTCCTCCTCCAAACAATTGTGTTCGAACGGTAAAAATCCCTTACCGTTCTCCATACTTAGTGTGGTGTCACACTATGCGTTTTTACCGCTCCCGCTAAAACGCTCCTGTTTGACGGGATGATAATATCACACGTTATTAAATGGTACCAGTCACATATATGCGTTTTCGCAGCACCAACCGGATGCAACCGCATCCTGCTGCTGCTGCGCAGGATGACATGACAACCACAATGACATGAAACCACGTGTTGTTGCACGTTGGTTGTCATCAGTTGTCACACTGAGCGTTGCAACCGGGTGTTTTGTTAGGTTTACAATGTTTGATGTCGGTTTATTCATCGAGTGCGTGCATGCAAAAACTGCACTGTGGGAAAAACAATCTAAAGAGTATGTAGATAAAAACTGTAGGGAGGAATCATGGGTAGAAATTGAATTTTTAGACATTCGGTAATATACAAAAATTTTTTTCTTGTTCATTCGAATTTTTTCATAAAACTTCGCGAACCTATTATTAGATTCTCGTCCTGAATTAAAAGGATCAATCCAATATTGACAATATTTCGCAATAGCCCTTCCGCCTCAAGCGCATAAACCATCTTTAACAATAATTGAGACATGACACTACTTAGGCTGCCAAAATATAGCAAAAACGCATCCCTTTAAACCGGAATAGTGTGACAAGTAGATCTCATCCTGTCAAACCGCATCCGTTTTAGCGGGAGCGGTAAAAACGCATAGTGTGACACCACACTTAATATACTATATCTAAGATCTGCGGGCGGCATCCATTAAATCTATGTGACGTTCGGTTCTGAAGAGGTCTGCAATGAGAAATATCGGCTTCCAGGCTTTTATACTGCAAGTTGGTTCACACTTCGAACGGTGTTCATTAAATAGCTCATATGCACACATTTTCACAAATCTATTCTTATTTGTTTCGACTCATTCGTTTTAATCAGAACCGACTATAGTTCCTTTTAGATTAAACGAAAGCTGTATACCCAAAAAGTATAATTGAACAAGAGTAATATTAAGAAAAATGATTTTTGCGATATACTTTTTTCCGAAATACAAAGAGCACATTTAAGTTTTACTTGTAGGTACCTACAACTGCAATTGTTTTCCAAGATGCCATGCTTATCATTAGAAAGAACTCATTCTGTGTGTTATATAATAAATAAAACGTAATTATGAATTCACACGATTTGTGGATTTCAAGCAATAAGAAGCTCTTTTGTATACAAAAATAAAAATACAGTGAATAGTACATTAAGTAAAAGTCTGTGTTGAATAAGGAATAGCGCCATCCATACTCTACCCAAATTATTTTTTTATTTCTTGCAAGGTACCTACTGAAACCGTGTTTCGAAGGGTAGATATTTTCTAGTGCATGATGGATTAATTGGCACGTCACTGCAGCTAAGCTCTTACAACGCGTTGAACTGTATT